AAGACCTGAATGACTGTATGATAGAGAGAGACAGAGAGAGCTAGAGTGAGGGCATAACTGTCAGAGTAGAGCGGAGCAGGAAAATATTCTGTGATTTTTCCAAACAAATTGCTCCACTGTGTCAGTCTGTCTCTTTGTCTGTTTCTCTCTCTCTCTCTCTCACACACGCCTGTCATTTAATAACCTGTGTATGTGTGTCAAACATGATTCTGTCTCCTCTCCCGCCCACCCAGTCACCACCCTTTGGTGGTGTAAAGTATGGATAGTCAATGTGGGCCCAAACATAAATGTTTTTTTAGCTTTCTTCACGCCGAAACCCCATTCAAGTGAGTGGAGACATTTTGCTCAGTTTTTTGGGATTTTCGGGAAAACCGATGGGCGAATCTCTCTAGAAAATAGATAGCACACGATTCCCGATCAGGCCGCACTTTTTGATGTATTTTTTTGCGCAGGTGTTGGCAACGCTGTGTGAGGAGCGAACATTCTGGATAAACATTAAGATAAAGCCCGATGGATTATATCCATAATAGTGTTTTGCCAACACCTGCACAAAAAATACATCAAAACGTGCGGCCTGATCGGGAATCGTGTGCTATGTATTTTTCAAGAGGGATTCGCCCAGCGGTTTTCCCAACAATCGTGAAAAACGGAGCAAAATTTCTCCATTCACTTGAATGGGGTTCCAGCGTGAAGACAGCAAAAAAGAAAACCTCTTTCTTGCAAAATTTTCTAGCCTTTATTTACAATCAAGTTGGCTGTCTAGCTAAACCTTATAAACTCACTATTGCTAATTCCTTCCTTAACGTTTTCAAGCAGTGACAGTGAGGCTGGTATGTCTTCACCTTAAGAGTGTGGGTGTGTGTGTCGCCATTGCAAAATATTGTCCTGGAGACCTGGTTTTGAGTACTTTGCATGGTGTTTGTCTGTGGACAGATTTTGCTACCATGCTAGCATCACAACTATGCAAGAAGCAGTCATGCAACTTTACAGGTGTGTAGTTGAGATCAAAATGAAGGTAGAGTTTGAAGATTGGTGTGTGCGCCAGAAGTAGTGGGGTAGGAAGTGGGGCCCCCCCTTACTTTACACCCGTGGCCCGGTTTGGCATTGCGGCTGGTGTGATCCTGTCAAAAGATGGTCTCTAGTTTTCATTTTCTTCTGTTCTATTCAACAGCAGTCCATTTAAGATGTTTTAAAAAGCAGGTATTTGGATCCCAAACATGTATTTTATGTCACTTTTGTTTCTCTTCCATTCATTCTATTTTTCTCAGTCTGAAGCCCAGGAGCTCACTATAGTCAAGATGTCTAAATTTGGAGGAGGTATTGGTGCTCCCAGTAAAGAGGAGAGGCTAATAGAAGCAGCAGACATCCATCTGAGACTGGGACAGACTCAACGATACTGTGAATTAATGGTGGAGCTGGGACAGGTATGGAGTGAGTGTGTGTGCATGCAGGTGTGAGTATCTGTGCAGTAATTTCTCTCTCAAGAAAGCCAGACACTAGTGAGACTCGATTAATTAGTTGTGTTGGCACTGATCCTGTTCAGGACTTTGACCATTTTGATATTCAACAACATGTTCTTTACTCACTGGTTGGCTCCACATTAGTCTCTTTTTATACCATGTCAAATGCAAATTTGTTGGACTAAAAGCAAAAACCCTCACCCAAGCAAAGTTTTCCAGCAGTTGTTACTGATATCTGTACCGCCAGTTTGTCTCTGCCATCATCAAATGCTTTGGAAGAACCTGCAAGTGGAAACTGTAGGTGAAAGAAGTTAAAAAGAGATGGCATGTAAGCATGGAGGACTTCTGACAGAGTAGAGCGTTAAAGCAGCATGCAGCATGCAGCAGCTGCAGAGATTGAAGCCAGGCAGTCAGTTCTTAGCTTGAAGTATATTTGATCACAGCCACATTGATGATTCTTTTTCTATTGTGAGAAAAAAAATTATATTACCAATACTTGAGCTAATGAAGGGGTTATCTCTCTTTCAGTGGGAGAAAGCATTATCTGTGGCACCAGGAGTCTCCATGAAGTATTGGAAGAAACTCATGCAGAGGTAATCCATGTTGAACTTTATTGTTTCAGCTTTTCCACTAAACAACAAAAGGGAAAAACAATGACTCAGTGGAAGTGTTTTTCAGTGTGAGCTGCCATGATGATTGTTAAAAATGTTTGCTCAAAAAGTTGTGGTACTGTCTCAGTTGTATGGCGTAATGCCACATTACTAATGCAGATGAACAGATGTGGCCATATAAGAGCAACACTGTTCTATAATTCTTTTAGCAGAAAAATCAGCTACAGCAGATCAGGAAAAGGCCCTTAAAACAATTTAGATAATGAATGATAATATATAAATAAATGTAAAAGTAAAGACAACACAGAATGTGTGTATTGCAAATGGTGTACAACAGTTTCAGAGACCAATGCGCTGTCCACATGAACAACTCTTTGTCTCAGGAGTTTTTGTTAAAGGGATAGTTTGGATGTTTGAAGTGAGGTTGTATGAGCTACTTAGTCAGTGTATAACCTACAGTAGACTGCATTTGGCATACCCCCAGCTTGGAGAAACAGACAGGAGTACCAGCACGGAAGCTAAGCAATGTGCTCATGTATATATGGGGCGAACAGCAAAATGCATTATAGCCACCAAAAAGAAAGGTCCTCTTGAAAATAAAATTAATATTCCTTTAAGTGTACGGTATATTTAGATAATTTTCCGATGGAGAATATAACTGAAAATGAAACTCATCTAAGCTGTTGTTACAAATAGAGTCTTGTGGCTTTGAGGATGGCATAGATAAGTTTCACTTTCAGTTAGGTTCCCCATCAGAAAGGGTCGTCTGACAACAAGTTAATAAAAGGGGTGAAAATAGCGTACACTTATTGATTTAAGTGAGCCTTTTAGGTGGCTAAAATACATTTTGCTGCTGACCCCTTCCACAACAGTACTTTGCTCCTGTGCGGTGGTGGTCCAGTCTGCTTCTCTAAGCTGGGGGTGTGCCGACCGCAACGGGTGTGGTAAGGACCCAGAAGCAGTAAAACAGACACACGGAATAGTTGGAATCGAAACTTTATTCTGGACTGAACACAACACAGGTAAACTCCCTGTAGATTCCCACTCGGTGGAACGCCAAGCCGTCAAGGGAGAAGGCAGACAGAACCCAGAGGAAGCAGAGACAGAATCTCGTGGTCGGGGACAGAAGGCTGAGTTGTTTACCGGTGCAGAGGCAAGGCGGAGAAGTCCAAACAGGCTGGGCCGGCAACGGGAAATCAGTCGGAGGGTAAACGCTGGAAGGTCAGGCATAGCTGCGGAGAACGATCTGGCAGTGAGTGTGTGTGAGACTGGGGTCTAAATAGTAGGTGCAGCAGAGTGAGCAGGTGAGAGTGATGAGCTGATGAGGTGGGTGTGACTAACAGGTGCACTGAATGAGCTGATTAGGTGAGTGAGAGATAAGCTGTGTCTCAATTCAGGGGCTGCATCCTTCGGAGGACCCAGCCTTCGCGGTCTATGTGGGCCGGGTCCTTCGAGGACCGCGAAGGCTAGACCGTGCGGTCTCAGAAATGAGACGGCCTACCCTACAGAGGACTTCCTGTTTGCGTCAACAGCTTTTCCCGCCCCGCCCCCCTCTTGCTGCTCCCATCGCCTAGAATCCCTGCTCAGCAGGATTATATATACAGGTGCTGGTCATATAATTAGAATATCATCAAAAAGTTGAATTATTTCACTAATTCCATTCAAAAAGTGAAACTTGTCTATTATATTCATTCATTACACACAGACTGATATAATTTCAAATGTTTATTTCTTTTAATTTTGATGATTATAACTGACAACTAAGGAAAATCCCAAATTCAGTATCTCAGAAAATTAGAATATTACTTAAGACCAATACAAAGAAAGGATTTTTAGAAATCTTGGCCAACTGAAAAGTATGAACATGAAAAGTATGAGCATGTACAGCACTCAATACTTAGTTGGGGCTCCTTTTGCCTGAATTACTGCAGCAATGCGGCGTGGCATGGAGTCGATCAGTCTGTGGCACTGCTCAGGTGTTATGAGAGCCCAGGTTGCTCTGATAGTGGCCTTCAGCTCTTCTGCATTGTTGGGTCTGGCATTTCGCATCATCCTCTTCACAATACCCCATAGATTTTCTATGGGGTTAAGGTCAGGCGAGTTTGCTGGCCAATTAAGAACAGGGATACCATGGTCCTTAAACCAGGTACTGGTTGCTTTGGCACTGTGTGCAGGTGCCAAGTCCTGTTGGAAAATGAAATCTGCATCTCCATAAAGTTGGTCAGCAGCAGGAAATATGAAGTGCTCTAAAACTTCCTGGTATACGGCTGCGTTGACCTTGGACCTCAGAAAACACAGTGGACCAACACCAGCAGATGACATGGCACCCCAAACCATCACTGACTGGGGAAACTTTACACTGGACCTCAAGCAACGTGGATATATATATATTTATAGTGTATATACCTGTGTATATATATATATATAAAAAATCCCTGCTCAGAAGGATTATAAATATATACACATAAATACATTAAACTAAAATATTTTCAGTATATATACTTTGAAGTTTTTAGTTTAGTGTTTTTAATCATATATTCAAAAATTCATTCACAGTTTATTTTCATAATATTGTTTTTCTAAATTAATAATCAGTTAATTAAATCAGTTACTATGTTAAATAACACATTTTCAGTTATAGTTCTTGCAATTAAAACAATGTATTTATCAATAACTTTATTTTATTTCATTCACACATACATATATATTTACATGTACATATATATATATATAGCAATCCTAAGGCAGAGGAAATCAATCAAGACATAATATTAACAGCAGCAAAACAAATGTCAGCAAACGTGTTTATTAACTTGCAGTAACACATGTGCATATACTTTATATATTTTAACATAGAAATCATTTACATGGATGTCTTATTTCAATTTAAATAAATAAAAGAAAAAGTTGACATCACAACTGTCATCTCTGTGACAGCAACATGAACACGAGAAGGATCTACTGGTTGTCTTATTAGTGAAGGCTTTGTACAGGATGAGAGCTTATGTAACTGTAACCTTAAATACAGGATGGTCAAATGGAGATATTACAAATGGACTAATGTCTTAATTCAAGCCATGGTTGCTGAATGTTTGTCCATCGTTCTCTCCTCAGCTCCTGGCTCTCTGTAACAAAACAAGAACAGAATCAGCAAAATACTCAAATTCAGTTTATCTGTGTAATTAATCTTAACCGTATTAACGTTATTGGACTTATCCACCTCAGGTGGATAACAGGAGCTCTGGTAGACGGGTTATCCACCTGCTATTACCGCCGTGGCTAGTTAGCTTGTCAGTTACGAACGTCACGTAATTTAACGGATCATTTTAACACACGTGATGTTATAAGATCTCTTATTTTGTTTTAACATTAGTATCGGTGACATTCGAGTGAGTTGAAACCCAATACTTACATTTAAAAGTGAACGATGTCGATTCACTCGCGCTTCACCGGCACGCAATGCATCTCGGGATGTGCTGGGCCGCGAAGGATACATCAGATGTGTCCTCCAAATCTGGGGTCTGAAGGCCGCATTCGTCGGCTGCATTTGAAGGAGTCTTCAGCAAACATGCGAATTGGGACAGCCTAGTCGCCGCGCTGTGACGCAACCGGTCTACGAATGCAGCCTCCGAAGGATGCAGCCCCTGAATTGAGACACAGCTATATAGAGTGACAGGATAGAAGTGGCAGAGCTGTGAAGGATAAGTACCTCATACAACCCTACTTCAAAACACCAGAACTTTTTCTTTCAGCAAACAAGTTGACGTTGTTGATTTTGTCACGTTATTACATTCTTACAGCTTGATTTTAACTGGGATTATTCATTTTGTCATCTTCATTTGACCAATTTTAATATAAATACAAACAAAATTATAAAACTTTGCTTATGTTATTGATATATGTATGTTATTTATAATGTAATTTTAATATGCTCATGTCACAGGAGAGCTGACCAGCTGATGGCTGAGGATAATGATGATGCTATCCCATACTGCATCGCCACAGGAGACATAAAAAAACTTGTAACTTTCTTCACCGGCCGTGGACAACTGCTAGAGGCCTTAATAATAGCACAGGTACTCAAAGGGAGGGGATGACAGGAAACAGTAGTTTTCTTTAGGGCTGGATGATGAATGGTAGATCTTGAGTAAATGGTTACAGTTGGGGCGGATAAATAAGTAACGGGAGACAAAGACAGAGAGGTGAGGAAATACTTGAACAGTCATTTTGATGCCTGTGAAAATATTGACAAGACCTGATAAAAGATAATGATTAAAAATGTTCTTTATTTTTAGGGAGCATGTGAAGGGAACATTCGTGCACCTCAAAGCTCCCCAGTTAACCACATGACTAATGATGTGGATAACAGACTACAATACCAGAGGTAAAGCAAACACACACACGCACACAATGATAACATTTTTTGGTGCGTCATTTTCATTTAACTTGAAACTAACATTTACCGTAAGTGGGCAGCACAAATACGTTTGGACTAAGGCTGATCTTAGCTTACATACTGTGTTGATATTCAGTGTCTTTGTCAAATTAATGACACTTGGCACTATTGGCTAACGTCAGTGTGAGAACAGTTCACTACAGTTTACATCAGGCAGATGTCTGAGTAGTTTAGCATCCAACAAGGTGATTACATGTCTGAAGACACACTGGAACTGGTATAGCGATAGTCTTTAAATATGACCCTTTTCATAAACAACATCATTAGGGGTTTGTTTTGACAAGCATGGAAAAACATTGCAGCATTAACCACCTTTTATATGGATGTCTAATCAGTGTTGATGGTAAATGTAGTCCATTGAAACAATAAATCTCTTAGTGTGTGCTATATTGAAAAAGAAAGCTGAGTTCTCCTTGGTTCATAGTCTAGTCGAGTTGTGCCTATCATATGCAGATAATTACATAAAACCACTGAGATTTCATAGTCCGAACCAGCGTGAACTAAGATGGCAACAACTCTTTATTATTTTCCATATTGTTTGCGCTTTACTGCTTTGCTCCTTACGCTTTTACCTTTAACAATACAAGTTAATTTACAATCCATCAGCATTTCACAAAGAGGTGACTCAACAAAATAGCTCACAATAGCGTTAGGGGAAAAAAAACAACTACTCAATGGTTACCTGCCCTCTCGACCCTGCTGGTCGGGATCAGGTCTCAAGCACAGCTCTGTCCAAGTGAGGAGGATAACTTTCATGCATAGTAACGCACACACTCTCAGGTTCGGTATCGCAACAACATCCAACAAAAGCTGCCCAAGCTGACATTCAAAGCACAGCAGTCTGTGTTTGCTCTCAGCAGCTCAGGTTCCAACGGGTTGGCCATATTCTCCCCGCTGCAGCCATGGCCTCTCTCCTCTGCATTTCTTTGGCCGCATGCTTTGGCCGACTGAATATCCGAGTCAGCCAAAACAATGTAAAATGTGTACTTATCTCCTCTGCACTCATAATTTGGGATGCCATTTTAGCAGTTGGAAACATAACGAGTTAGCAACCGAAGTGAAGAGAATGAGAAAGTTTGTTTTTTGAGTGGCATCCAGAACGCGCCCCCTGGCTATGCAGAGAAATCTAAGCTGAGACGGCCTGTAGTCCTTCCTACCACCAACGACGTCACTGTGCAGGTGTTTCGCACACTATATCCCTAACTTCGATTGCAAGATATAAGGGGCAAAGTTTCCCTTTTAAGAAGGACAAACTAAAATTCTGTTGAGCAGTTCTATCAATTCAATATTATCCAACCAGTAATCAGCTTGGATTCATGTCACTTCCAATGGATTCCAATTGTGATCAGGTTTCAGAGTGGAAAAATTATCAAAATTCAGCTCAGTTTATTCACAAACACTTAATATACAAGTACAATCATAAGACATAATGGATATATGTTAAATGGGTCATCTCAATAAGCTATCTGAAGCTTGAGAATAGGTTTGGTGACTGACTCCAAATGTTTAACCACAAAGATCCACCTGTCAAAGTGTCCTTGAGCGAAACACGGAACCCCTTATTGCTCCCCAGGCAATCTGAATAAAAAGTCATGTGGAGAAACGGATCTACCGATTTATAGTATCTAAAAAGAGCATCATATCTAGAAACTACTTCTTCACTCAGACTCTTGTAGAATACAAAATAACCGTAGCATCCTTGCTTGTAAATTGTAGGTTGATTGAATTGCTCCCTGAAATTAATCCTAGTATATTTCTGAGATGAGGTGTTTTGATCACAATCCCTGGCTAGATTTGCTCTTTTTCTGTCCAGTCTCCTCTATAAGGTATGTAAGGAACTAGCTGAGTGGTACTTTCAGGACGGATGCTCTGTCCTTGCAGCATGCTGCCACCTAGCTGTGGACAATATCAAGGTACACACCAGTGCATATCCCAATTAATTACATACAGTGTATTTGCATTAGTTTGTATACCAATTGTGCAAGAATATCGTGCAGTTTCACATGTCTTACCTTTATATTTACTGATCATTGATAATGAAAAATCTGATTTGAAAAATGTGGCTGAAATGTGGATGTACTGTATGTGTTTGTTCTATGCTTTTAGTTAGCCATGTCAAGTCTTATCCGAGGTAATGAGCTGGAGTTGGCAGCATGTGTGGGTATTGTCCTAGGAGAGGCAGCTAATCAGAGCACTGCATACTGTCTTGAACTCTTGGCCAGGAAATACATGACAACTACTACATGGTACGTCTCAATCTATGCATGTCCAGTTAGTGTAACCTATATTATTCTTCTGTATACTTTGAAGGTAATCCAAATTAACACCGGTCCAGGTTTAGCTACTTAATGCTAATTGTGTTAATGCTAAATGTTGTATTTATTAGCTTTTTTCGAATTTTAAGTCGATTTGATCTTGATCTTTTCATGTTGCAAACCCCATGTTGCTCATAACCAGTTAGCTGATTTCACCATATTTGGTTTGGTGTTAAGCTAACTGAAAAGATCAATTTACAGGATATGTTAGACTTCTGACATGACACATGTCCCTGGTCTTAAAGGCATTGAAACCCTAGTTCTTTGAGCACAGGTGGAGCCCAGTGATGGCAAACTTACATCTTCACATTTATCAGTGACTGTAGATGAGCAGGGATCTAGAGTTTGAGAGCTTCACTTGTGCTGATAGTACTGCAGTGCCCAACAACATACCTACAATGACTGCTTCTAAGTTGTAGTCCATGCAAAGCAGAACTTTTATCTCTACCGTTTTTAAATTTAGGGAGCTCTCAGCTGACCTACTGCGAATGATTCCTGACAACCACATTCTATTGTCCAAGCTGTGTGCATTTTACCCAGGAAGTGTCGCTGAAATCAACCACTTTCATGAAAGTGTGAGTAGGCAATCATTGAGTTAAATCTAAGACATGTTTTGGATAGTGCTGGGCAACGATTACAATTTTTAATCGCGATTAATCGCATTGTTATGCGCAAACTTCAATAATGAATTCAAAAGTAATGTATTGCACACTTTTATTTTAAAAGTACTGCTATGAACAAAAGTGCAATAACATTTGGTTTGCAAACACTTTAAACAAATAAGGTGCTTTTTAACAGCAGTATTCCCTTTACACAGTAGCAGTTAAATACAGTTATAATAATAGTGTGAGGATTTTTGTCTAACTCTGCTGTATTTCCCTCAGTAGTGTCCTCCTACGAGTCCCGCTCACTGCCGTGCCTCTCTCCGTAGGCACAGCTCTGCCTCATCTCCTGTGATCAGCTCCAGCTGACATAAATATTCCTGTCACTCTCATCCCAGTTGTCAGTCCGTCCGTTTACCAACCTGGTTTTCCGACCCGCGAGTTGTCCGTTTTTTCACTCTGTGAGATTCCTCTACTAACAATCCGTTTTTTGTGTTCAACTTACCTGCCGTCCAGTGTCGAGCCTCGGGTTTTTACCTGCACGAAGAAGCCTTCCAGTTCGTTCCTCGGCAGTAGAAGGAAGTGACGCCACACAAACACAACTGTTCACTGCTCGCTGCCCGGTTCTTGTGTTAAAAATGTCCACTTAATAATTAAAAAAAAACTGCTTAACCAAAATGACAAAAATGGCATAAAGACACATTGATTCTAATATGGGTCATTTTTGACCCACTTATGGAAGAATGTAGGGTCCAGTCACTCGTGCATCTAAGGGTTAACTGTTAACGCGCGATAATATAATTGTCGGCGTTAATTAATTAACGCGTTAACTTGCCCAGCACTAGTTTTGGATGGAATGGATGCTTTCTGTCTGATGTTGATGATATTAACATTGTGATGGTTATAGTGACTACGATTATGTGTTGTTTGTCATTCAAGTGCGGTCTCCCTTCATTAGAGGAATGTAAGGCCCTCGCAGAAGCAGCCATGTGTGAAGGAGATTTGTTCTCAGCAGTAAAATTCCACCTGCTGAGCTCTGATCCCGAGAACGCCCTTCGGATAGGGCTAGATCACGTTAAAGGTATTGGCTACTGAGTTTCAGTGTGTGTCTGTTTGTTTGTTACCCACCTATCATAACATCTACACATTTTAAATATGATGGCACAAATTATCTTTTAATATGAAACAGTTGGCAATATTTACATGTTGATTGTTGTAAAAGTTAGATTCTGACATGCTATAGTGGGTGTGATTGACATTTTTCTGCCAATAATGTTAGCAATCAATATTACACTAAATACATAGATAAATTGAGCCATTCCATGGTTGTCTCACATGCTTGTGCAGTAACAAGTGTAATCTATGAATGACCAGTTCCCAAACCAATCTCTATGAAGACCCTACAAATCCAATTAAGTAACATAACAATTCACAACAATAACTAATTAATACGCAATTGTGCTTTGCAGACAGTGTCAAGCTGAAGAAAGTAATCTAAATTTCTGTCTTAATAAAGCGCAGATCAATTAGAAACCGTCTATGAATTTCCTCCTCACCAGAACAACTGACTCGACCTGATTGGACAGTGGATATTGTTCAGCCAATCCTGGACCTGATGAGTTACATCAGAACTGACTGCCTCATCAAGGCCAAGTTGACTGGGTAAGAGCATCTATTACTTAGTATTAATAATTATTTAAATGACTTTCACCAATGCTGTTACTTCCTATACATTGTTAGACCTGATCATCGTATGTGTGTATGTGCGTGTGCGTGCGCGCAGAGCCCGCAGTGAGCTGTTGATCCTGTGTGGTTACATTGGCGGTCTGCTGGCCATCAGAAGACAGTACTTGAGCATCGTGCCTGCACTCTACGAATACACCAGGTAGACACACAACTAAACATCGAATAAAAAGTTTGGAAATTAGTGTTTGGTAGATTATTTCTCTGTTGTAACAATGCTTCTTGGCAATAAATGTTATACCGTTGGAAAGCCTGTTTATTTACCTTTCAAATGGTGCCCCATTTGTAAGGAACATGCATTTGTAGGATGAGCAGCACAGCTGAGTATGTGGGTTGTGCCCATGAAAATTTTTCCAAATCTTCTCTGCCAATTCTGCTGTTGCTATTGACTCTTGTTTGGTGGATTGGATGATTGAAGTCTATCAGTTACAAGGAGGAAACAAGACATATTGTCAATTTTACAATTTATTCATTTAACAAACAGGAGCCTCAGTAGCGTGTGGAAGAACCATACACGGCCACAACAGCCTGACACCTCCTCCTCATGCTGGTCACCAGCTTGCTCACACACTGCTGTGGGATGGTATTCCACTCCTCAAGCAGGATTTGTCGCAAGTCAGCCAACGTGGTTGTGTTGGTCACTCTGGCACGAACAGCTGGTCCCACAAGTGTTCACTTGGGTTGAGGTCAGGACTGTTGGCAGGCCATTCCATCCTCTCTACTCCTAAATTCTGGAGGTAGTCTCTGATAAACCCCGCTCTGTGGGGGCGAGCGTCTTCATCTTAGAGGATGGAGTTCGGTCCCAGACTGTGGAGAAATGGGATTGCCACTGGTTGCAGAATCTCATCTCGATATCTCTCTGCATTGAGATTGCCTCCAATGAAGACAAGCCTCATTTTTCTAGTGATGGAGATGCCGCCCCACACATCACACTGCCTCCACCAAAAGGTGTTACTCTATCGGTGCAGCAATCAGCATAGCATTCTCCCCGTCTTCTCCACACTTTGACCCTACGATCCAACTTCCTTAGACAGAATCTGGACTCATCGCTGAACATAACGTTCCTCCACATGTTCAGGTTCCAGTGCAGGTGTTGCTAACACCAGCGCAAATGGGCCTGACGGTCAATAGCAACAGCAGAATAAGCTGTTTGGCATTGGCAGAGAAGATTTGGCAAATTGTTCATGGGCGAAACCCACATACTCAGCTGTGCTGCTCATACCAGAAATGCATGTTCCTTACAAATGGGGCACCGTTTGAAAGGTAAATAAACAGGCTTTCCAACGGTATAAAATCCATTGCCAAGAAGCATTGTTACAACAGAGAAATAATCTACCAAACACTAATTTCCGAACTTTTTGTTCGATGTTTGTGTGTGCATATGTGTTAAGAATTCTTTGTTTAATATGGCTTCAACCTTCGAAATACTGTTGTTTCTGTGGTGTTTTGCATGTCCCAAAAAGGTGTGGTGTAAAGAAACATTCACATACATTTTATCTGTCTGGTTTGTTGGTGGTAATTTATAGAGGTTTTTTAAAATCTATTCTAAGGGTGGAGGACTAATCAGATGACTGTAATTATACTGTTTATCTGAGATGTGCTGAGTAGTCATCATGACAACTTAAACATCATTGTACCCACACCTGTCAATAATTCTACCCCATGTTACCTTGAATTCTTCAAGAAAACTATATTTTTATTGCATGCCTCCACAGTGAAAGAAGAAGCTAAAGTATTGATGAACATGAGTAAATTCAAAAGCCTAACTATAGCAAAACATCAGTTTACAAACTCTCACACAAGTTGAACAGTTCTTCCAAAACACTTGCATTTTTGCCAAAACTGTTCTGGCTACCTTCTGGCTGGGGGGCGCTCGGGCTCAGGACCCCTGAAAATATTGTTCGGAAAATAGCCTTATTGTTCGCCAGTATTGTGGATCTGTCCAGTTTTTATTTCCGGATTAAACAGCAACGTATGGGCAACACTATCATATAAGTCACCTTTTACACACTCCAAACACAACTATAGACTACTAGTATAAGCATCTAGAAAATGTGGCATGAAATCCTGGGCAGAAATCGGCGTTATGTCTGCCTCAAATCAATATTTTCACCACGAAGCTAGCAGCTAGCCGGCTAATCCGGACATCGTTTAGCATTAGCATCACGCAGCGAACTCATACATACCGTCGGTTCTTCTCTCCGTGGACCCACCACAACGCTGTGACTGGACAACGGTCCAATGCCACTGGTCTTCACCGGAAAAATCCATGGTTTTTGGTCAGGTTTTATGAAATATTAGTACAAAAACATTGAAAATGCTCCGGTTCAGAGCTACCGTCATGGCCGCGAAGTGCATCCTGTTTACAGCCGACCTGTTTCCTGTGGAAGGGGGGTCAACCCACCTCGGGCCAGCGGTCAGACTTTCGGCCAATGGAATTTTATGCCCGGGGAGACGCGACACTTCTTGCAACTTTACTGACTGAAACTTATGTCAATCAACACCAAATTCGACACACGCCTTCCTGAGACTCTGACGTGTCGAAGGAGGGCTTATTGACTGAACTCGACCGATGATAGGCTGAGCTACAGCGCCATACACGCACAGGGACTGAGAAAATCCTATGGCTGAGAGCCAGAGACAGGCTCTGATGATGTTAGGAATCTCAAAATGATTCCTAACATCTGTATTTGGATGTATTGAATAATATGAGTGATTAAAAAAAGTGAAATATATAGTTATATAGTATATAAAATTAGAATAGAGCATGAGAGAGAAATGAGCATTCGGCTTGAAATTCTGTACTCAGACCTCCTATTATGCTGGCCTGCTTCACTCAATCTAAGTAAAATTAGCTTAGAGAGACCACAACCCTGTTGTGCTATGACACAGGAGTATTTGTAGGCTTCACTCTGCAATAATTCCAAAAAAATGTTCAATGAAAGTGCTTTTTTTTCAGGCGAACCTGGAACTTTTTCAACTTGAGCTGTGCCATAAGTGTATCAGTTATTAACCAGTAACATATACACACTATTTACACAATTGAACACATCTCACAAGTGTTACCTGTATAGACCATCAAAATTATTAAAATAGACCTTGTAGTTTGGATAGTTTACTCTCTTGAGTATGAGTATGCAATTTTCGAGCAGAGGGCTAAAAATAGGGCTAGTAGTTAAAAGGTTTTAACACTTCTACTACTACAGTCTCAGTGCGCCTGGGCAAACATGAGACGAAAGGGGCGGAAGGGTTTTAAATGGTAAGATTTTAGTGAAGTGATTAGGAACATAGGAACTCTTACTAAAAAAAAGTACTGGGGTATACAGAAATAATGCGGGCTGTGTTTTACAGTGATACTTTTACCTGATGTAGTATTCAGTATTTCTTTACTTTGCTAATTACCATAATCAGGTTTGAATTGGATGAACAATTTGTAAGTCAGTCCAAACATTTTTTTTTTTTTTTTTGTTTCTCAGTCAGCTGATGAAGCGGAGGGAAGTGTGTGTTCCTCTGAAGATTGAGCAGCTGTCTATGGAGCTGGATACCTGGCGGGCCTGCACACAAAGTAACAGCAAGTAGGTTACACAGAGACACACAAAAACAGAATGGTATTTCAATTGAATGTTATTAATAACACCATGAAGTACAATAAAAAAGTACATATAAATGAACACCAATTGGGCCATGTGTGATATGAAGTTTAAAGGAGACGATGGGAAAGAGGGGAACCCTGTCACGACTCACTATTACAGTCATGTCTAGTCTCAGCTGCCCAGTAGAGCTAAAAGCTAAGGCCATGATGAGCCCAGTTCCCAAAGCAATACAGGATAGAGGGGCTCACTTGAGATATATGTAGAGCAGCTATATCACCACTGGGGAGACGGATGTTTTATGAATAATGATTAAGATGGTCATGTTGCTGCCTGACGGACAGATCTGGTGACTGAAGATAAACATCTTTTTAAGTATTGAGGACTTGCTGATGAGGAGACGTTGACTACGTTTACATGCCTAATCATATTCCACTATTAATCCGAATATGACAATCCGAATGAACCAATTGATTTGGTTCATGTAAACATCATATTCCAATTTCTGAATAAGGCCTTATCCGAATGAAGCATTTTCTGACTAATGCCGTGTTCCCACCAAACGCACGAGTGGATTACATACAAAGTCTATGCACAGACGCGATGAGACTGGAGTGATGCAAATTTGCGATGTCGCGATTCATGCCATTCGCGCAAGTTTAAATTTTTCAACTCGAGCGAAAAAATTGCGTGATGTAAATATAAATATAGCCTATCAGCGTTAAGATGCTCCTCCTGTCATCACTGACATCCTGCCATTGTTGAATCAGGAAACAAATACTGCAGCCGTAGGTGTTCACCCAGAGCTCTACGATACCTCATATTAGTAGAGACCGGACCAAACTATATGTATAAATGTATCTGTGTAAACCATATGGTACAAACAATGAAAAAGACGCTGTCGTCTTTATGCCTAGTTGACGTTGTTTTGAGTGTTGATGGAGCAGCTCAGTGGCGGCTGGTGGAATTTTTTCTAGGTAGGGCCATCCAATCAATTTCAGCAAACATCCCAGTATGATTTAATGCAAAAAAATTAAGGTATCAAACACGCATTACTACTTTGCAGTTAAATATATATATATATATATATATATATATATATATATACACACACACAGTTGTGTGAAAAAAGTGTTTGCCCCCTTCCTGATTTCTTATTTTTTTGCATGTTTGTCACACTTAAATGTTTCAGATCATCAAACAAATTTAAATATTAGACAAAGATAACACACGTAAACACAAAATGCAGTTTTTAAATGAAGGTTTTTATTATTAAGGGGGAAAAAAATCCAAACCTACATGGCCCTGTGTGAAAAAGTGATAAACCTAATAACTGGTTGGGCCACCCTTAGCAGCAACAACTGCAATTAAGCATTTGCGATAACTGGCAATGAGTCTTTTACAGCGCTGTAGAGGAATTTTGGCCCACTCATCTTTGCAGAATTGTTGTAATTCAGCCACATTGGAGGGTTTTCGAGCATGAACCACCTTTTTAAGGTCATGCCACAGCATCTCAATCGGATTCAGGTCGGGACTTTGACTAGGCCACTCCAAAGTCTTCATTTTGTTTTTCTTAAGCCATTCAGAGGTGGACTTGGTGTGTTTTGGATCATTGTCCTGCTGCAGAACCCAAGTGCGCTTCAGCTTGAGGTCACGAACAGATGGCTGGACATTCTCCTCCAGGATTTTTTGGTAGACAGCTGAATTCATGGTTCCATTTACCACAGCAAGTCTTCCAGGTCCTGAAGCAGCAAAACAGCCCCAGACCATCACACTACCACCAGCATATTTTACTGTTGGTATGATGTTCCTTTTCTGAAATGCCGTGTTACTTTTACGCAGGATGTAATGGGACATACACCTTCCAAAAAGTTCAACTTTTGTCTCGTCAGTCCACAGAGTATTTTCCCAAAAGTCTTTGGGATCATCAAGATGTTTTCTGGTAAAACTGAGACGAGCCTTTATGTTCTTTTTGCTCAGCAGTGGTTTTCATCTTGGAACTCTGCCATGCAGGCCATTTTTGCCCAGTCTCTTTCTTATGGTGGAGTCATGAACACTGACCTTAATTGAGGCAAGTGAGGCCTGCAGTTCTTTGGATGTTGTTCTGGGGTCTTTTGTGACCTCTTGGATGAGTCATCGCTGCGCTCTTGGGGTAATTTTGGTCGGCCGGCCACTCCTGGGAAGGTTCACCACTGTTCCATGTTTTCGCCATTTGTGGATAATGGCTCGCACTGTGGTTCGCTGGAGTCCCAAAGCTTTAGAAATGGCTTTGTAACCTTTTCCAGACTGATAGATCTCAATTACTTTGTTTCTCATTTGTTCCAGAATTTCTTTGGATCGCAGCATGATGTCTAGCTTTTCAGGATATTTTGGTCTACCTCACTTTGTCAGGCAGGTCCTATTTAAGTGATTTCTTGATTGAGAACAGGTGTGGCAGTAATCAGGCCTGGGTGTGGCTAGAGAAATTGAACTCAGCTTTCCAAAGATGTGATAAACCACAGTTAATTTATGTTTTAACAGGGGGGGCAATCACTTTTTCACACAGGGCCATGTAGGTTTGGATTTTTTTTCCCCCTTAATAATAAAAACCTTCATTTCAAAACTGCATTTTGTGTTTACTTGTGTTATCTTTGTCTAATATTTAAATTTGTTTGATGATCTGAAACATTTAAGTGTGACAAACATGCAAAAAAATAAGAAATCAGGAAGAGGGCAAACACTTTTTCACACAACTGTATATATATATATATATTAATTAGTGCTGGGCAACGATTAAAATATTTAATCGCATGGATTTTTTGCGATTAATCGCATTGTTATGGCAAAGTTCAATAATGAATTCAAAAGTAGTGTATTGCGCACTTTTATTTTAAAAGTACTGCTATATGAACAAAAGGGCAATAACATTTGGTTCACGAGATGCAGGTAGCATGTTTTATACTTAATGTGAATATAATTCATACTTTGTTGGCATCTTATTCTGAAAACGGGATGTTCGTCTGAAGAAACCGGATGTTGTCTCACGTTAATCTTTCCGCTAACTTTCAAAGTCCTTCACTCGCTCCCGATCTGTGCCGTTTAAATGCGTTTACCGTGAATTTCAGCATATAGGTGCACTAAAATGTAAGTGTCTGCTGAGTTGACCACGGAGATCTGAGTGTCTGCTGAATTTACCGCAGCGATGTCCAGTAGTCTCAAGGGACAGCAATAGCTGGTGCAGCTTCTCTCTTTATTTCTGGCACCCCCCTCTCGACCAGAAGCTTAAGTCGCCTTTTCTCTACGGCAAACCTGAAGGGACATCATATCTCCAATACAAAACGATAAACATGAGACAGTCTGACTATAGGATGTTTGCTGGCTTTTATCAAACTGTTCTTTCATCCTCTTGTTGTTATGTATATGTATTGTCTCTTGTCTTTCAATAAAAAAAAAAAAATTATAATAAATTAAAAAAATGCGTTAACGCGCAATAAAATAATTGTCGGCGTTAATTAATGAATGCGTTAACTTGCCCAGCACTAATATATCTATCTATCTATCTATCTATCTGTCTATATTCATAAGCTATGATGAGTTTTCACTGATAATTTACCATCTCAATTAAATGTTGATGCCTCCATAACCAAGTTAAGCAGATGAGACTGAGGACAACTATAGAAGAAAATATGTTCACTTTGCCTAATATGTAGCTGTAGCTTGACAGAGTTCTCCATGTGTGCCCCGGTGTTCTCATGTTTCCTTACCTCCTCATCCCTCACTCCCGTAACTGTCCGTGCTGGATCTGTCCCTGTTGTTTTAAAAAGCTAACTAAGTTATTAGCATGACTTCATTCAGCTAGCCAAACCTGTCTGGTGTACAGCTAGTAGAGAAGCTTCGCATGTACTGCTTCCCTGTCCCGCTAGTCTGCTGTCTGATTGTGGGGTCAGGCTGATCTGGGATCAGCTCTTTGGCCTGAAGTTTCTCCGCCAAAGTTTTCCTCTCAAACGGGTCTTGGAGGAGTAGTGCTCGCGCTGGCACTCGCGCTCGCCTGTAGAGACTTCTCCTTGGGAATTTGGCCCCAAACTGAATCAATTTGAGGACGCTGATTGGCTAAATTGTATGTCACTCATTTATATCTTTAATCAGCAATTGGCTAAACTGCTTCATAGACCCGCCTCTTTTGGGCCAAATTCGTTTGGCCCCCCCTACCTGCGCGTTCTGAGACATGCACACAGGCGGAGGACGAGCAGGAAAAGCATATATTTTGCGCAGATATCATATTTTACACATATTACTGGGTTCATATTACTGGTACATTCCATAGTTCAAAAACACAAATATTGACATTTTGTATAATTTATTATTATTATTATTTTTTTTTTTTTGAGTGGCTCAAGGTGGGGCCAGGCCCCATGGCCCTCTATTGGCCAGTTGCCACTGGAGCTGCTACAACGTTAGCATAGAATAGCACCGATCGATCCGAGCTCCATTGAGAAAACAAGTATTTTAAAAGTTATTTGCTTGTCGTCTTGCGGAGAGAACTAACAAAACATGAATTCAAACTTTTTACAAATCTGCATCATTATGTAGTTATTTTGGCATCCCTTTTAGTCCGTTTATTGCACTTAAATCACAGCAAAATCTGTTTATTTTGTGTTCATACAGCTGTAGTAAACCAGCCGACGTGCGACTTGCTAGACAGAGTGAATACACCTTGATGAAATCCACGGAGCTCCTCCAGATGATGTTAGGAACCCAGACAAGAAGGTTTAGCCTGGGCCTTCACTGCTGTCCTGCAGCTGAAACACCTCATGACGCCACAGCTACGGTTATTATTTGTTTTGTGTAAAAATGAAGCTCAACACCTATAAATACACTAACTGCAGAGTGCAGATACATGAATACGCCGAGAGTGTGTCGCCTCTCTTCTCTGACTGCAGCGGGGACTGCTGCGCGAGGCTACTGTGAGAGTGACCGCCTGTGAGTGCTTTGGGGCGGCTCACGGCAACCCCCGCTGCTCGTTCACGACAGTAACTGCAGAACGGTACGTGCTTTCACTTCAGAGTAAAAACACCAGAAAAGTCTCCAACAACACCAGAAAAAGTCGCTAGATTTGTCGCTAGTAGCTTTTGACAAAAAAAGTCGCCAAGAGGGTTCGGAAAGTCGCCAGATTTAGCGAGAAAGTCGCCAAGTTGGCAACACTGGCACTGACTAAATGTGTCCCCACCGCAACATTGGACGTAACGATAGTTCCTATCATATATAAAACCAAACAAAAATCCATCTTCATAAAAACAAGTTGTACAAATAATAATATATAAACAAGCATATTAAAGCTCCTGCAGATGTAAAAACAAAAGCAGTTCACTTACCAAAGCTGCTGTTCACTATTTAAAGACAAAGTCCATCCTCCTTTCTTTGTTAATAAAGAGTTTAATCTCACGGTTGTTCAGTACATCCGTGCGTTTTAGTTCCAGTAAGAAGTCCTCGATTCATGGACGCCAGTGAAGACAGTCGAACCTCCCCAGTTGTATTTCTTGAATACATTTTAATGCGTTTGAGGGCTGAAAATGTGTGATCGGCAGAGGCAGCAGATATTGGGTTTGTCACCGCCCAACATGTCATTCTAGCCCACTGACCAATCACGTATGGCTAGGCCAGCTAGAAGGCTCCGACATGTCAAAGAATATGCCCAACATGTCAAACTAAAGATCTGATTGGTTGAAGACTATGCCAATCGACAATATCGTCCCCATTTACTTAAACTACAAAGGGACTCATTTGTGAGTCTGCAGGCCTCAGGCCTCTCTTCTTACCTAGAGACACAGAGGTGAAATCTGATTGGATAAAAGCTCTACTTAAAACAAGCTGCACTGGAAGCAGAGCAACTGAGGAAGTGAAAATAAGCTAATGGGGGAAAAAAAAATTATAAGACATGTAGCGTATTTATGAAAAATGATTAAATTATAAAATGGCTATAACTTTGTGATTCTGTCTAGACCAGCAGAGAAGGCCTTGCTGGCCCTGAGGGCCCACCACTGCACAAATGACCACAAATGGTCCCCCGCGAGTAACAGGGAATGACGTGATTTGGTGTGAACGCACCTTAAGACGTGTGATATTATTCAGGTTTTAGAAGCATTTTTTCAATATGTATACAGCGCATTCAGAATATGCGCCTCAATAGGGGTTTTTACGATAATTTGTGAAACACTGCCTCTTTCCTGTTTACGACCAGCTCTGTGATTTGTACACAAACGAGCTAGCCGATAGTGTGGAAAGCTGAAGCAGAGATACACGCCCAAAAGAAAAGCCTACATTTCTGGTCAGAAAGAGAAACAGACCTACTTTTAAACATTATGAAGGCCTCGGACATCAACAGGTTTTTGGACATGCGCAAATATTGCAACACCAACCTTTTCAATAAGGTGGTTAAAGGAATGAAAGAGGGAGGCTGTGTTCGCACGGTCGAACAAGTCCACCACTGGTGGAAAACTTAAAAAATATATATTTTGAAGCAAAATAGCACAAGCTGCTCCTGCCGTTCAACTTTTCCATATTTTGAGGTGATAAACAACATGTTAGGGCATCGACCCGTCAAACACAGTAGAGAATGGTTTCGACTTGGGATTATCTGGCCCCAGTGATGAGGATGCGTCAAGGGGTTGTTTTACGTTGATTGGAATATGCACGGCTGCATGTAAATGTGAATATTTGTGGAATATGTGATTATTTGATGCATGTAAACGTAGTCACTGTATCGAGCTTCTTGTTAAGTGCACTAAGGAGGAGCTCAAAGTGCTGTGCAGCATTATTAAAACCAATGAAGCTAGAGCTTGTTGACAGACTAATATCAGATATCTATTTATCTTTTTCCCCAAGAAGTATAGAGGGTTACTCAGGAGATTCATGGAACCAGATATAGAGATAAATAAAGTATCATTGCCTTTGCTGCCAACCTCCTGGAGGTTTTTTTCTGGGTGGACATATGTCCAACACTGATAATAGATATACATCTATCTTCATACTACCATATGTTTAAATTCACTGGCAGATGCTTATGTCTGCTTATGTCTGGTATATAGCTTCACAACTGTATCTCCATCTGTCTGTTTTCAACAGTCCTTCATCAGAGTGTCAAAGAGAGGAGTTCAGCTACCTCGAGAGGAGAATCCAGCCAACACAACCTGGTATAAATAAGAATTCTAAACAAAAGTTTATCAGGGGAGTTTATGGACCTTAAATTCCATCTTTTGATTGATAGATAGATAATTACTTATACTATAATCCCGGGAGGTGAAATTGTTTTGCTACAGAAGCAATTATGGTACAGGTAAAAATAACAATGCAAATATCAAATGCACAATATATACAATGAAATAGAATAATATTAAATTAACTAACTAAACAGTAGTGCAAAGATTCCACCAAACAACGGTGTTATAGTTTTGTGATTGATCTGGCCAGAGGTGATTTATTATAAAGTCTTATTGCAGTGGGCAGGAATGATCTCCTGTATTTGTCCTTGTGACAGCAGAGCTGGATAAGTCTGTTGGAGAAAGTGCTCCGCTGTCCTCAGAGTAGGTGGTGGAGAGGGTGGTTTGGTTTATCCAATATGGATAACCCGACTGAAGAATATTTTCTTCAGTGTCCTCCTCTCCACCACCTTTTCCAGAATGTCCAGTTTGCAGCCAATGATGGAGCCGGCCTTCTTAACGAGTTTGATAAGTCTGTTGGTGTCTCCGGCTCCAATGCTGCTCCCCTAGCAGACTACGGAGAAGTAAAGTGCACTGGCCACAACAGACTGGTAGAACATCTCCAACATCTTGCTGCACACATTGAAGGACACATTGAAGTTTTCTCGAGAAAAAGAGTTGACTCATCCTCTTTTTGTACACAGCATTGATGTTGGTCTTCCAGTTCAGTCTGTTTTGGATGGAGACACCCAGGAATTTGTACTCCTCCACCATGTCCACATCCTCTCCCAGAACTCTCAGCGGTTGTGGAGCCAACCACCATCACCAAGTCAACCACCATCTCTCTGGTCTTGGCCACGTTCAGAAGCAGGTCATTTCTACCAGCCCACTCCACAAAGTCATCCACTACTGTCCTCTACTATTCCTCCCGTCCATCCCTAATACACCTGACCACTGCAGAGTCATCAGAGAACTTCTGCAGATGGCATGACCTTGAGTTGTACTGGAACCTTCATCACATGAAATGTGAGGTCAACCGGTCGGTAGTCATTGAGGCCAGATGGAGTCGTCTTCTTTGGTACAGGAACCAAGCACGATGTCTTCCACACCACCGGGACTTCCTCCTGCTTCAGGCTCAGGTTGAAGAGATGTTGCAGGACATCAGACAGCTGGATGGCCTAGGTCTTCAGGACCCTGGGGCTGATGCCGAGTCTCTCCAGCTGTCTCCTAACCAGGCCAGTCATCACAGAGAGAGGGGGGGGGGGAGGCAGCAGAGGTGTTTGGGAGGTGTGGTGTGTGGAGGAGACAGGTGAGGGCTGTGAATTAAACCTGTTGAAGAAACAGTTTAGCTCATTGGCCCTCTCCCCTGGTTGTCTCCCTCCAACCTTGAAGCCAGTTATCTGCTTCATCCCGGTCAACACCTCCCTCACGTTGTTCTGCTGGAGTTTGGCCTCAAGCTTCCTCCTGTAGGAGTCCTTGCACTCCCTGAGCTTCTCCTTCAGGTCGCGCTGTACTCTCCTGAGCTCGTCCCTGTCCCCAGACCTGAAGGCTGCTTTCTTCTTATTAAGAAGAGCTTTCTGATCACTGGTGATCCATGGTTTGTTGTTCGGGATGGAATGGTGGTTTGTTCACAGTATTCTGTGATGCAGTCCGTCATGCTGTTGATGTCCTCCCCATGTGGTCCACACAGCACATCCCAGTCCGTCGACTCAAAGCAGTCCTGCAGGGCGTCATTAGCCTCCTGTGTCCACTTCCTCACAGTCCTGGTGGTTACATGCTGCCTCTGCACCAGAGGAACATGGATGTGGTGAGGACGCATTCCCACGGCTAACAGTTCAATACAGAAACGTTCCTTCACACACACATGGTCGGGTTTGGTCTTCCAGATTTGCTTTTATCTGACAAAGAAACGTGTGATGTGTAGCTTTGTATTGTGTGTCATGTGTGTTCTTTCTTGTTTGACTTTGTTTGATGTGCTTACTCTGTACTGTTTGTTATTGTGTTCTCTTTGTTTTTACCTGCCAACGGACTGCAGATGCACATTAGCTTATTAGCTTAATTAGCTTAATCTGGTATGGTGCATCAAATGGTGAGATTTATGTTTTAAACTGTAAACATGGTCCCTTTTAAATCAAATTAACCTAATTAGATTTAATGAAATAAAACACTGCTCATAAAAGGTATATTTTGGGATCAGCAAAATAAGCCCCATACGTCGGTAGGGTGCTTCTGCTGGTGGTTGCATCAGCAATAGGAGCTGGAGGCTGTGTGCCTCAGGAACAGCAGGTTTGGCTGATAACGAGTGTGTCGGGTAGTGATTGGCTACTGTGCACAAGAGGCTCTCTGATTGGATGAAGTCTGGTTTAGACAGAGAAATGAATGAATGAACAGAGGAGGCAAACCTAATTATTATCTTGCTCAACTCAATAATAATTATAGCGTTTCCAATATGTAAAACTTGATGGTCATACAAACATATTATGTGTAATGGTTAACTGGCAAAACATGTTCCTTTCTCTCTTAGATGGTTTAGTCCTGTGTGGTGCTGATTATGTGACAGGATCCAATCTGCCAAGCCACTCAGATGTTCAACTGTCATGTTTCACCGGACACAGAATACAGGTGTGGGCTTCTTTATTTATTGGTTTGTTTGTATCTACACTAACATGTCTTGTCGACTTGTGAGTTTTCTCATTGTTTTCTTTTTCTATGTGCAGGGACCAGTGTTTTTGCTGGAGGATGATAAATCAGCAATCTCTCTTAATGATGCCTTAATGTGGGCAGAAGTCAATCCTTTCTCTCCTCTGGGAACAGGACTCCGCATCAACCCCTTCTAACACATGCACACAAAGAGGACATTCCAAGTGGAAGGTTAATATATTGGAAGGACAGAAGAAAAATGTAAACTGAGCTGAAAATAACATTTTTGTGCTTCAGCTACGTACTTAGATTGACACAAAAAATAACATGCACAAACAGCAAAAACACTAATGCTACAATACAGAAATATCAACATTAATTAGAAATGCTAACAACTGAAATGTGAAATTATATTTCTGAAGAATCCCAAATGCATTGCTGTGCACTGCTGACACTGTAATGTAAAACTCAGATCAGAATTGGAAGATCAATCGAAAGATGCTGAAAATACATGCATTACTAGAAAAACTGGATTAGGATGCAGTGTCAAGGGTGGGAATTGAAATTAATCGGATAATAAGGCTGAAAATATAAATACTTTGTGCTTTAAAAAGTGTAATCCATAGAAAAAAGTTGAATACAAGTGTCCGTAAAGAGCATTAGGTTTTGGCGTTTGAACAGCTGAAATACTTTTCAAAGCACTGTTGATGTAATTTAAATTAGCAAAATTTGAAGATGAACTGCATTACTTTAAAAAATGTAAGAGCTGAAATACATTGCTATAAAAGCTGGAAGCTAAACTGTAATAGCCTACTTTCAGAAGTGAAAGTATAAATTGATTAACTGAAAAGCCCAAATGAAGAAATGCTTTGTGTTTTAAAAATAAACATAAAAGGTAGGAACAAAGTAAAATACAAGCATATATGTCCATAAAGAGCGTTTCTGTAGCTGAAAAGTATGCAGAAGTGGTGGTTGACAAAAAATGTTATGGATACGAATAGTTAAACGTCAGCTTACTGTAGGGTGGTTCCCATAAGGTGTAGGGAAATGCTGTATGTGCTCTAACCAAAGCGCCACTGACAACCTAAAAATGTCATGTAAGACCTGGCCAGAATTTTTGTTTCAGACATGAAGCATGCCCTGCTTTATCATCTATTTTACTCTAAAAGTTCAAAGTTCAAAGTTTGCTTTATTGTCAATTCCACAATGTACTGAACATACAGGGGAGTTGAAAAGACGTTTCTCTCTAGTCCAACATATAAACATATAAAGTGAATACAGTGCAATAGATTAAAAAAACATTTAGACAATATATATATAATAAGAGAAAAAAGAAAAAAAAACTATCAATCTGTATTTAGCAGTAGTTGGACATAGGGATTTAGCAGCAGTTGGACATGGGGAGTCTTAAAAGAGAGGAGGGCGAGAGTTCAGAGAGTTCAGCTTCCTAACAGCCTGGTGGACGAAGCTGTTTGAGAGTCTGGTGGTGCGAGCATGGAGGCTCCGGTATCTTCTCCCAGGGGGCAGGAGGCTGAAGAGACTGTGTGAGGGGTGGCTGGAGTCGCGCACAATCATGGTCACTTTGCGGGTGAGGCGAGTGTCGTATATGTCCTGCAGGGAGGGGAGTGGACCATAATTTACTAAATGAACATCATGCTGTATTAAAGAAGACTTGATTAACACCATAAACTCATGTTTATAATGTTTACTGAGGTAATAAATATATACAATTGGACTTATTTTTGCAACAAGAGGAGTCCTGCTGGCCATTAAAGAGATGGCTAGTTCAAGGCACAGAATTGGAGGCTGCCACCTGCTGCCAAACCAGCAAGGTCCGGTCCATACTTTCTTGTTGTATCACTTTTTCCTCAAGAAGCGATAGTCCAGAGAACAAATAAGTAGAGCTGCCTCGAGGGCTTGTCAATAATATGGTCAGTGTGCATTTTGTTAGTTTGTTAAACTTGATCCACCTGATTAACAGCGGTGACCATGGATATAACAATCTGCAAATCTCTAATGCAGAAGGAGAGGACAGGATTGCATTTCACTCGAGTTGTACCTTACGATTTCATGTGACAAATAAACTCATTGATTAAGTTTACATGCAGCTTGTATTTGGCTATAGCTACAAGGAATATAAAATTGCTTGTGATCTGTCTGCCGAGAACAGCCTCATGGAAGTGATATTTGACGATGTTTATTGTATAAGGAAACAAAATTCATTAACTGTTATGTTCGTTTCTCAGGTACAGCAATGATGTTCGCGGGTCAATGTGACCCAGTGCATGTTTAATCATCCAAAAGTTGTCAGAAGCCAAAAAATCCTAATAAATATAGTTTGTACCTCATCACCAACACCATTACTAACAATTCAATCCGTATTTAGTAGAATGGAGTTATTCACCCCTCCATAGATCATATAGTTCAATTAGGATAACCCACTCATTTTCAAGAAAAATACATGTTCAACCTATTTTTTAGGTACATTGGAAAAAAGTAGATATAAATTGCATTTGTCTAGCATAACATGTATTTTTTTTTTTTTAAATTGTACACATTTTGAAACTTTCTTTTTTTCATGGGGTGATGTAGATGATTCTTGTTGGAAGACTTCGACCAGTGGAAATGAGCAGAAGAGGCAAAGGAGAACTTTTGTCCCATTAGACAGTGCGTTTTATGTGTCGTTGCTGAACTTGTGAATGTTTATCTAAATAAATAAATAAATAACATCCTTTTTGAAAGTAGAGTGTGTCACTCTGCTCTCAGCGCCCTGCTGGGCTGCTGTTAGCTGCTATGGCTCTACGCACAGTCATTCTTCAATACTCCTCAAAATTTGGGCAGTTTTGGGTCCGTCTGAAATACACTGGTGACGGTGATCGCCCAGCCGTGATCACGTCGGTGAAACACTTCTGTTTGATTCCTGCTGGATCGAAACATCAGAAGTCTATTCATACATTGCTCTACCAAGCAAAAGAGACTTTGAGCTGTGCTTCTTTCAAGAAGCTCCTCTTAGACGCTTCCTGGAAATCCAACACTCAAAAGATTTCGAATCCAGATGGAAAGACTGGACAATATAATCCTAAATTCAAATGGACATAACCACTATAATAGTTAAGTTCTGGACAGGTAGAATACCTGATGATGACATTGAGTTATACCTGCGCAGGTACTGCGATATTTTGCACACTAACAAGCCGATAGACAAGTTTGGTATCTGGTATGGAGTGAGGAGATACAAGGTGAAACTCCGTAAAGACACCAACGGACATCTTGTATCCATCCCCAACTCCATCTCCCTTGGTCCCTACAACGGACGCATCATATTCCCCGGTCAGTCAGTCACCTGCTTCATCTGCCACTCTGCTGACCACCAGGTGAAGCAGTGTACTTTCGTCAAATGTTGGAGATGTGGCGGTTTGGGCCACAAGTAGAAAAAGGACACACCTTCTTCAGCTGCCCTGCCTCATAGTCCAACAGGGCGAGATTTCAACACCAGTCTGCCCCCTACCGTCCTGCAGCGGTCTGTCCCTCCACCCTCCTCCCAGCAGCGGACTAATCCTCCTCCACTCCCCCAGCCTCAACCTGATCCTCCTTCAGCTCGATCGGTCTGACAGCTGGCCAGAGAGCCAGCAGCACCCCTCTCCACCCCCCCACGGGTGCAGAATCTGACTCTCTCTCCCACACCTGAGTTCCCTTCCCCCACAATTAGTGAGCCACAGAGCGATGTACCATTCCAGTTGGTCACCAAGAAAAGGAAGAAGAAGCGAGCCCACTCCGCCTCTCATAAAAATTGAGAAACGCTTAAATGATAACCCGTCACCTCCACTCCACCATGAGCCTTCTTAAAATCGCCACCTGGAACGTTCGTGGTGTTCAATCGAGTGTTTATCGTCAACAAAAAATTAAGTATTTATTGGACACTGACTTTGATATTCTATGTACTCAGGAACTCAGACTAAACACAAGTAACGACGTTGATAATGTCTGTGCCATGTGGCCTAAAGGTAAAAGTGTAATATCTATAGGCAAGGCTGATGGTGTCGGTATTTTTTTTAAGACTCATGATGTTGTTTTTATTAGAAAAAGGGACATCATTCCAGGCAGGCTTTTGATGATAGATTGCCTTTTTAGAGGAGAAAATCACCGAATAATAAATGTCCATACTTCTCCAGACAAATCCCAAAAAATTGGTCTATTTAAAAAACTTAGAGAATTATTGTCAGTAGGTTATAAAATTATATTATGTCGTGATTTTAACACAGTTACTGAAGACAAAGACAAATGTAGTACAAAGCCCTTCAAACTGAGTCCAGGGGGCAAATTTGTAAAACAAGAATGTGAAGAAACTAAACTAATAGATGTATGTAGATCTGTAAACCCTTCAGGGTAGGAATTCACCAGATTTGACTCAAAAACAAAATCAACTTTCACAAAATCAACTGTTGGCCTCCTCTCTGCCTGAAACGTCTTTTAAGACCATAAAAAATGAAAATGCATCTCTAGGCAATAAAGTGGTGAAAGCTGCAGATATTCATGGCAATGACATCACACTGTGAAATCACCTGTCCTGGGCCACTTCTCTGAAGAAAGTCTTTGAAACTATGTTTACTTTCACAAAATCAACTTTTGGCCTCCTCTCTGCCTGAAACGTCTTTTAAGAGCATAAAAAGCTGAGAATGTACCCTAAACCAGTAAGGGTGA